CCCCCCCCCCCGTATCCTAGGTACATCTTTAACTTAAAAAAACTGAAACTGAAATTATTTTGTTTATTTATTTATTTATTTATGTTTTATTTATTTTTATTGAATTTATTGGGCGACATTGGTTAATAAAATTATATAGATTACAGGTGTCCAGTTCTATAATACATCATCTGTATACTGTATTGTGTGTTCACCACCCCAAGTCAAGTCTCCTTCCATCACCATTTATCCCCCATCTCCTCTTCTACCTCCCCCCACCTCCCTTTCCCTCTGGTAATCGCCATACTATTGTCTGTCTGTGAATAATTATTTTTTAATTGTGATAAAATATACATCTTAACCATTTTTAAGTGTACAGTGCAGTGGCACTGGAACATCCACACTGTTGTACAACCACCATCCCCATCCATCCAGAGACGTCTCATCTTGCAAACTGAAACTCCCAGCCCCTGGCAGCCACCCTTCCACTTTCTGTGCGTACTTCATTTGACTCCTGTGGGTACTTTATATAAGTGCGATCACACCGTGTACGTCTTTTTGTGACTGGATCATTTCACTTTGCCTGCTCTCCTCAAGGTTCCTCCATGCTGTAGGTGTCAGAATTTTAAGGCTGAGCAATATTCCATTGTATGCATTCACCACATTTGTTTATCCAGTTATCCATCGAGGGACACTTGGTTGCTTCCACCTTTTGGCTATTGTGAATAGTGCCGTTGTGAGCATGGGTTTGCAGATAAGTTTACTGTTAACTAACTTGTAGTTCCTAATCTGAGAGACAGCACACTAGAAAGAAAAATTCAGTCACCATCACTATGTGAGCAAATGGTCTAACTCTTCAGTTCTTCAGTACTCAGGTAGGGCAAGTAGTTTAGGTAGATGGATGGATTTAAATGCGTATTACATAATATTGTCACATAACAGGATTATCCAGAATTACTTTCAATTTTCCATGCTATCTCCAACATGGCTAGAAATATTACATGTACTTTTATTTTCAATAAAGAATAAGGATGTACATTTTTCTTCCCTCATTAGATTTTCTTCTAAAGCAGTTATGGCTCACACAGGGGTAGTCCGACAAGGACCATGATAAATTCACTCTGCTGTAGGTGAAGCCCAGGGCTGAGTAGTAGTCCTCACCGCCTGTCTGTGTGGACGGGAGAATGCCCTCCAAGGCCTGTTGGGCAGACAGACCCATCCCCAGCCTGGAACACATGGCATCCAGCTCTTACCACACAGGCCATAATGCTGGAGGCTCAAACGTGCCAAGGATCAGATTATGTCCCCTGGAAATGTAATAATATGGGGCAGAAACGGCCTGCCGTTATGTGGTTGGCTCCTACTTTAAAGGGCTCATAAAGCATTACAAATAAGTTCCATTATGCTCCAAAGGGAGAAGTTGCTAGAAGATAGAGAAGTGCTGGGTTTGTAAATTGCAGAATTTAGGAAGAACACTTCAGATAGTAAACTGGGACATTTAATAAGGGGGAGCGGTTATGAAGTATTACTATCCTTGTATCTTTGTTACCTAAAAAATTAACTTGAAGAGGCTACAGATATTACAATAATAATTAAGCTGTAATAAAGTAATTAGAAATAACAGATTTATACAACTGGTGATAATAAAAAGATTCAGCTCAAACAACACTTTTTCCCCCCTCAAATCCCCTGATCTCGCCCCTGAGAAGTTCCTCGTTCAGCTACTGCAGGTGCTCCTCAGCCCCCTCAGAGCCCCACACTTGTTGTTGGGTCTGTACTTGTCTCTCTCTAGAACCTGAAATCTCCTAAGGGAAGGGACAGTCTTAGCCATTTTTTAACCAAATGGCTAAGGTAACTGAGCTGACATAACTGAACCAAGGGAGCAAAGGGACTGTCTTACAAGGTGTCAGTCAATATGATAGATCAAAGTTGGGATTCACAAAGAAACCACAATAAGATGAACAAGGTCTGGGGGTCTAATGTAAAACATGGTGACTGCAGTTGATAACACCGTATTGTATAACTGAAATTTACTAAGAGAGTAGAACTTAAATTTTCTCACCAATAAAAGAGAAAAAGATAAATATGTGAGGTGATGGATGTGTTCCTTAGCTAGGTGGGGGAAGCCTAACTAAAACCGCTTCTTAGAAAAAGAGGAATGGAGAGAGAGGAAAGAAGGATGGAAGGAAGGTTGGTTTCTCAAAGTTTATGAAGCGTAATGCTTTATTCTCCCACCCTGTAACTCAGGTATCAGCCATTCTTTCTCAGCTTTTGTTATGATCCCAGTATGTGGTAGAATTCTGGGACACGCTCAATCCAGAGCTCTAGAACCAGGTAGTAGTGTTTGAAATATATTTGAAAGGGGAAAAAAAGCAAAGCTTCAACTGGGTTTTTATTCTGCCCCCCCCCCCCAGCAAAGTTGGGGAGGAACATTACCCACTTGACAGCCAACCAAAAATAAAAAGGAAAATGAAAAACCATTAAAACCCAAAAGCTGAATCCATATTGGAGGATTCAGAAAGATTTTTTTTTTCAATTTTGCTTTTCAGAATTTGACATAGGATTGAAATAACCAAAAGTGATTTAAAATTTCCTTCTTCCACCTGAAGACATTACACTAAGTGAAATAAGCCAGTCTCAAAGGGACAGATAGTATATGATTCCATTTACATGGGGTACCCAGAGTAGTCAAATTCCTTGGGATAGAAAGTGGAAGGGGGGTTGCTAAGGGTGGCGGAGGGGAGTGGGGAGTTAGGATTTAATGGGTCCAGAGTTCAGTTTTGCAAGTTGAAGAGATCTATGGATGGACAGATGGTGATGATGGTTCCACAACAGTGTGAATGTACTTCATGCCACTGGGCTGTACACTCAAAAATGGTTAAGATGCTAAACATTGTTATGTGTACTTCGTTACAGCTAACAAACATTTCTTCTTCCTTTAGACCGCAGGGATGGGGAACCTTTTTTCTGCCATGGGCCATTTGGATATTTATAACATCATTAGTGGGCCATACAGAAACATCAACTTAAAAATGAACTGTGAAAAAAGCTCCTAGATTTATTGAATTTTGAGTCCTACCTGTGGTTGCCTTGGCAGAGCCAGACCAAATGATTTCGGCCTGGGAGCCGGACATTCCCCACCCGTTTTAGAGAGTATTGGAGGCAGATTTTGTAGTGGGATGACATGAGGTGAAAGTACATGCATTGTAGTAGAGGAAACTAGGAGAGCTTGCTCAGAGGTGTCAACAAGAGGAGTGGGGTAGCCAGCACATCATTTGTTGAGTACACAGTACTTACCCTGGTCTCAGTGCCTCTGAGGGTGTTAAAACAACCCCAGCTACCCTGGCCAACTTTGGGGAGACTGCTACTAGAGCAAGTCCCCCTCACATCCAGGTGGGACATCCTCCGGATGGGATGAGTTGAACACGTCACCTCCTGTTGGCCAGGGATGATGTAACTGCTGGACGCCCACTGGCTGTACCTGCTGTTGACTTTAGCAGAGTCCTGCCTCCATGTGCTGCTGTGTCCAGAAAAGCAGATACAGAGTGATTAGAACTGGTGGGGAGAGAGGGAGCAGTCGATTCTTCCCTCTTCTTGGGGCAGTTTGTCTTAGCCTGTGGAGCCCGACAGCGGCCCACGTGTAGAGTTCACGGCTCTGAATGATTCCAAACCCCAGCATTCATTTCTGAATTGCCCAGCTTTTTGAGCTGGCGAGCATTTGGGAAGTAAGATAAGCTAATTTACATGTGTAGTGATAACCCTCATTGAAGGACTTTAACAAACACTTTTATAACACTGCTTTGGAAGGATCGAGTGAGATAACCTGTAAGAGAGACTGCTCACACTCTAGGCAAATCTGAGGACGCCCAGAGGGGCGGTCCCCGGAATGTTATCAGTTGTCTGGTTTTCCTGTGTTTTTGAAGAGGTGCCGGGCTGTTTCCCCTGGCAGGTGCTCAGTCGTGGCCAGCCCAGGTTTTTCCTTAAGAATATTGCTGAATTCTTTTGGCGACATACAACTCTGGGGTCACCAGGGGACTTAGCCAGTCCCGTGGATGGCTTTCTTCAGATCTGCCCCCGTTTCTGATGAAATATCCCAGTGCTAATACCTGACTGGTGGGGGAACATTGGCATCTTATCTTTATTCCTGTATCTCAGTGATACTAAAACTCACCAGAACTAGAGTGAAAAGGAACCAGATACACCCAGGCTAGCATTTCAGTTCTAGTATTGCTTTGGAGAAGTTATTAAAACGACATTTCTGAGGCTCAGTTTCCTTAAATGGCAAATAGTAGTAATGAGAACAATGTCTCCATCACTTTTCCAGCAACAGGAGCTGTGGATCTCTGCCAAGTGTCCAGAGTCCCAGAGGGCTGAAGGATGGGGATGATGTGGGTGGAGTTTGGGGCATTGGGGACTCAGAAGGGTGCCACCATCAGGGGTTAAATATAGCAGGAGGTGGTAATTTAATGAGAGAAATATAAAAGAAGGTATTTCCCCACTCTGAGAAGTGAGTGCAGAGAAAGTTTTCTGTATATAGCTATATATCAATATACATATTCGTTCTGTTAATTTATGAATTATAATAAACACATAGTTATCTGCTGTAATAACTTTAGATTCCTCCTTTTGGTATGAACTTTCCTCTTTAAGGGGTGATAACTTTGACAGGTTTCCCCCCACTCTTTCTTTTCTCCCTTCCCTTCCCTCCCTTCACCCTGAACTTGGACTGCAACCCCAGGGTAGGATTCCATTGAGAAGCCGGCCCTTTTAACTTGGGAGTTTATTTTATGGTTGGCAGGTGATTGTGTTAACATGAAATAAACCCCTAGGATAGTAAATAATGTGATTGTTTAAGAGTAGTCTTCAAACGAAGGCAACCATACTCTTGTAAAAATTTAACCTTATAGCCAGGAAGTGCCATTAACTTTGGTTAACAGTCCTGCTAGTCTTGCTGTTTCCTATAAACTTAGAAGCAGGCCCAGAGATCAGGAATTTAATCTGAAACCTGATTCTCTTTTGTTCTCAATGAATCACATACATTTGGAAAGGAAAAGCATTATAACAACATTCCTATTTTAGTCAGTCTCCCTTTACCAAAAAACAAATGGAAAAAAGTTCAGCAGTTTTAAGGCTATCTTTCCTCCCACATCCTGCATATTTACTTCCAGAGAAAGACATGGCTTTGGCATTTCACCCCCTGGCCAAAAAAAAGTTCTAATTTCTAGTCTGATAGAACTCTTCCAAATTATTAATTTTGAACAGCTAAAACCTATTGCAGCCAAAATCTGGGTTTTGATGGTATCCTGGAATAGCCACCATATTCTGTTACATCCAAGATGCCATATATTGTAAGACACATCCTGATTCCAGAGATGTTAAAATGCAAAAAAAAATTAATGTTTTTGATTTGGTGAAATACAGCACAAGTTTCCCTTTTTAAATTCTGAGTAATAAAATGTAGGGCACTTTCTTACCTCCTCCTAAAAGGGCTGTTGGACATACACAAGGTGTCCCAAAAAAATGTATATACACTAACAGCTGATACCTCAATTCTGAAAGTGAAATGTATTTTAATAAACACTGCCTTTAAAATTATTCAAAGTGTGTGTATACGTTTTCTTGACACACCCTATATATTCCTTTTCAGTGAAAAGGAATTTTTCTTTTAGAAAAAATTAAGAATTTTGTTATATTTCTTTTACATCCCTGAATCAGGGTTGAGACTCACTCTGAAATCACTTCAGAGTTATTTTTTACTTTCTCAATTCAAAGCTCTTGATTCTTCTATGCTAAGACATTTTTTCCAAATTAAAGCTTTTAAATGTGGACTATATTATCTTAAGAGGAAACTGCTATATTTTAAAAATTAAATATATAATTTAATAAAATTATATAATAAAATAGATAATGCATATTTATTACAGTTATCATTGCAGAATATATCATTGCAGAAAGTTTGGGGAGATGATAATATTTTACTATTTGTAAAACTCTATTAGGCATATCAGTTAATCACCAGATTTACATATTGGCAATTATTCTCCTATAAATTGGAATTATATTTTGATATGTTTTAATTTTTTTGTTTCCTCTAACTCTTTTTATTTGTTCTTGAATAATCTTATGTGTCCCTTTTCTTTTTTCCAGATTACTGTCTTGGATTCGAAACGGAGCATGAACATTGGAATATTTCTTAAGCAATTTAAGAAGTAAGATTTTTGCACATGATTGAAACTTTAGTCATACCCATGCTGTCAGCCTCAGAGTCCATGGGTGTGAGCTGAAATGCAGATTCTAATACAAGTGAAAGTCATTCCTCACGCCTTCAAATCCTTCTTACACACATGGCTTTGATGAGTCCGCAAGTGCCACTTTCTGCTGTTTTTCTTCATGAAAACCCAGGCCGGTGGCTTGAAACACAGGGAGAATTGCCCCAGGGTGTCTAGTCAAGCCTGTCATGTCAGGGAATTTATAAATTCATCCACAGTGTTGCCCCTTGGGTGGAGGTTGGACTGGTGAGTCCGGTAGTGGTGAAGTTCACGTGTTCTAGGGTGGAAAGGAGAGGTCTCTACAGGAGTTTCATGAGACCCAAGGGGATGGGATTTTTCCTCCCAAAGAAGACCCTAGTGGTCATTGCCACTTTGAACTCTCTGGAATGCCCAGGGGTGGTTTTCTGGGTGAAGGGGCCTCTGAGTGGTGGTTCAGGATCCCCACTTTTCCTGGCAGTGGGTCTGTGGCGATCACTCACACAAACCTGCCTGTTAGACTGGGAAGAAGGTGGGGTGGAAAGGAGGGTGGAGGTGATTTGTTTTAATTTCCACTGGCTTGTGTTTCTTTGGCACTCCAGCAAAATTGAAATGGAATCTGATTGTCTTTTCAAGGTCTCCTCAGTCCATTGTAGAAGATATTCATCAAGGAAAGAGTGAGCATTATGGATCAGAGACATTACGAGAATTTCTTAAACTTTTGCCAGAGTCAGAGGAGGTAAGGAATTTGGTGTGTGAGTTTTAGATGTTCGGAGTGATGATAAAAGCTTAATGTTTGTAGGAATGTCAAAAGTCACCTAAGAAGGGAACTCTCCTACCCAGAGCCAGAGTTTTCTCACATAAAATTAAGAAAGCGACCCAGTAGAGAGAGTATGGGTTCTGGAGTTAGAGTATCTAGTTAGGGTTTAAGTTAGAGCTCTACCCTTTATTGAGAAACTTGGGCAAGTTTCTTAACTCCTGTGAACTTTAGTTTTCTCACCTGTAAAGTGAGGATATGATGCTTACCTCATTGGATAGTCAAGATACTTAAACTGTAGTTGTGCATCTAACATGGTACTTGGCACATGGAAGCTTAATACATTTTATTCCATTTTCCATCATCTGGCGGTGATCTTTGCCCAGGATGAACCTGGATTGTTTTATAATATGTATACTTAAAAACAATAAAGACAGAGAACACCGCTCTTGGATAAAGATGCTCTAAAATTTGGGGACGTGGGTAAATTGTTAATGAATGTTGTCTGTATAACTGACTAAAAGGTGGAGATTGCTGTGATAGAAATGTAGTACCACAATACAAAGTTACTGATTTTTTTTTTTTTTTGGACTGAATTAACTGAATTTTTGAATGGTTAGGAGCTTGATAGAAAAAAACAGAAAAATAATTTTGTAAAACCTTCCAAAATTGTAATATTGCCCTTTATTTCTGAAGAAGTGACCTTTGGAAAAATTTTGTAAGAAATTACATGAATATCTGTGCTTATAAGCATTTGAATTTAGTCTTATAAAGTAAAAAGTATGTTACCCTTGTACACATACTGCTAGTTCCTCCTTTTCCCATCCCACTTCTCTTCCCACACAGGATAGGTGGAACTTGACTTTAGTACTATTAATAACAATAAGAGAAATGTATTTATACTTTTTACATCAGTGATAAACTCACAGTGATAAACTCGAGGGTCGTAGTGCATAACTAGATATTCTAGGTACACCTGATAGTCTCAGCCTGTTTCTACCGTGGGTTTTCTGTTTGCAAATTAAATGTAACTTATCTTAGCCAAGATTAATTAATAGCATTTATTAATGTTAATAAAAGGGTCTTAAAGTATTGAGGAAAAGGAACATTAAATCATCATTTACCCAGATCTTATTTACTGAACACTCTTTAATTTTTCTTTTATGTAAAGAATGGGAGTTCCCAAATTTTTAAATTAGGGTAAGTATGACTGGATTAATTTGGATTTTAAAAAAGATGCAGTTTTTCTCAAAATCTTATTTCTGCTTGGGCTTTTTGCATGACCCCTCCTCCGGACTGCCTGGCACCCACTCCTAAGCAACCTTACCGTTTTTATAAGTGAGGGTCAAATTTGATGGCTCAGGTGAACGTGCTGTGAAAAGCTCTAGATTTCTCATTAAACAGAAGTCAGGCCTGAGGGAGGCTGCCGGCTACATGCTGTGAAGAGGTGGGAGATTAAATACGGTTTTCTTAATACCTTCATTTCTAATTTAAAATTCAAAGGTTTTTTTCGGGAATGCAAAGGCTGTGGAAGACTCGGATTTTTCAAAGAAGCAACGTAGCTGTCAAACTGCTCATATTTTTGAGTTGTGTGTGGGATGATTCAAAGGGAAGGAAGTTAAGGGCAGGATGAGTAAAACCCACCCAAGGCTTCCCTGAGTCCCAGGCGCGCTCTCACCCCTGGCAAGCGGGGGATCCCGCTCTCCCTGCCCTGAGCCGGGCCCTGGTTTCCCCATCACCCGCTGCTGCAGGGTCATTCTCAGCCTGAATATGTGACACGCTTGGTCACGGTCCTCCTTGTTTACGTTACAGACTCTGGGCTTCAGCTCACCACACCCTCCAAACTCAACTGGGAGCTTCCCTCAGCAGGAACACCCTGACAGTCCTCAGGGCCACTTGGCGCCCCTCCCTAACGCACTCCGGGGCATCTGTGCTGGTAGAGGGAGGCCCTGTGAAAGCCAAAGCCACCTCGTGGCCCATGCTCACTGCAAGGACAGATTGGCTCTTTCGTGAGTGCTGTGTGGCCTCTGGCACCACCCAGACCTAGGGCCAACCCTAGAGTCTTTGATGGAGGGTGGAGGGTGGAGATGAGGCCAAGGAGGAGATAGGGCCAAGTGAGAGAGGGTTAGGAATGTGGCAGAAATACGCTAATAAATGCATAAGTGTACGAATGACCGCATATTGCTGAGCCTGTGGGATAACGTTCTGTGCTCATTTTTAGCACAAGAAGGGTCTAAACGTTTGTTGAGTGGTCCCCCATGTTCCAGGCACTGGACAGGGCAGAATTCAACCAAGTGAGATCCTATATTTCAAGTGCTTGGCCAAGTGTCCAGCACACAGACAGTCAGTAAATCATTGCTCTGATTATTTTGTGTACCATTTTGACTTAATCCTCAGTGACGTAAGAGAGTCCTCATTTTACAAGTGAGAAACTGAGGCTCACCTGAGTTAAGTAGAACGTGTGGAGTGTCGCATGATGGACAGGCCCTGGAGGAAGGTGGACTTGAACCCTGGTTGGTCTGACCCCAGAGCACTTCCTTCTGCTGCGCTTGGAGGAAGGAAGGAAGGGCAGAGGTTCTCAAAATCTCAGAAGGTTCTCAGAGAACCTCCCAGGCTTTTCATCACCTCCGCTATCACAGTACCAGTGTGAATGTCACTCGAATAATACTGTGATCTTATCAGCTGGCGGAAAAATATGAACGGAAAGAGCCCTTTTCTCCTCTGCATTCTCAGCTGACAAGCCAACCCAAGGTTAATTTGTGTTCAGGATTCCTCTGCCCTTCACCACAAATCTTTTGTCTGGTATGTGTGTTTAACTTGTGTGGTTAAAACCGGCAGAGGAAGAAGGTAGACCCAGCAAGGGAAGAAACGGACTGTGCTCTCGGTCCAGCCACGTATTCCTGTGCCTTGAGGGGAGGCTGGGGTAGGAGCCAAGTGGGCGGTGCAGGAGACCCCCGCCCAGCTGGCAAGCCCTTCCCTCTGATGGGGCTGGTACCCTGTCATCATCTCAGGGTCAGGCATGCAGGGCTGGAAGGTGATAGAAGTGTTCGGTTCTCTCTGGGGGCCTCCTCTGACACTTTATCACCTCATTCCTACCTTTTTTGTTTACTCTGCCCCTGGGAGGGGAATGACAGTGGGGGAGCCCCAGAATCTTCTGTTGGACTGTGGGTGGGAAATCCTGCTGTTTTAAGGCCATGTGAGTGGAATTAGATGGGATGAAGGAGGCCTGCCTGGGGAATGTGTGAGTCTTAAGCATGCAGTTTGCTATTAGGACAGAACCAGGCACAGCCAGGTCATAATGAGAGTCACTTGGCTCAGCTAGCAACATCATGCCTAACAATGTTTGATAAATGCTTTTTGATGATGATGAGAATGCATAATAATTATAGGGTTGGTTCACCTCTCTTTTTCACCTTTCTACCGCTGTGAAGGTACAGTAATCCCTCTTAATGAACATAAATCCCATTTTGAAATGGAATTAAGAATTGTGTACACAGTATTTAAATCAAATACTATCTTTTCATCACCATTCTCTTGAAATCTAAACATTTTTAGCTCTTTACATAAGGGAAAGAGATTAATCTTTGTTCAGTTACAGTTTAGCTCATGTCTAATAGAAATATCTACCAAGATTACTTAGCATGACCTGTTCTTATGCTTTAGACAGAAAACTGCTGTTATTTTCAGCAGTTTTGCACACACTACATATAAGGCCTTAGAAAAGGTACAACCTCACTCTGCCCCTGCCCAAATATAGTGAATTGTGAGACCAGTTCAGAAGGGATCAGAATTCATCCCATAGCTTTCTCAGCTCAGAAACAAGGCTCTGATTTGGGGCTTAGCTAAACCAGAGGTTCCATCTGCCCTTTAATTTAGTGAAGCTAAAAATGGTAAAAATCACATTGGGACCCTAAAGGTAGGGGAAATAATGCAATTCTATAAATGGTGATTTTCTGTCCATTGGAAGAAAAAGTTGTCTGAAGGACCAAACCCAATACTAGGCTGTACATCTGCACTGTTACATTTCATATCTGCAGGGAATTGGTGTAGGTATTTCAGTTTGTGGATCTTTGCAAATACTCTCCCCTCTGTGTTTTTGAATGCCATTCTCTATTTTTCAAGAAGCTTAAAAATCATGTTATTTTTATGGGCAGCCAACATAACCCAGGGGGTGGAAGAGAAAGCTTTCTGAAGAATAATAAAAGGTGATAAGGGCTCCTCGGTTTTGATTAGCTGCAAGGCTAGGCTGTCTAGGTCCCAAGGCTCTACCTGCCGTAAAGTGTTTTCGTTGGAAGACTTAGTGGACAGGGAAGTGTTTCAGCCATCGGGTTGGTCCAGTTTTCTGTGGGGAAGGCATGACTTGCTCTCTGGTATAGCAGAGAACTTTCTCTCCGCCTCCATCCCCACCCGCTTAGTTCTTTGGCTACATTCCTATGTCAGAGCTCTTAGTCTTTCCTATATTTGAAGGGATATGTGTGTGTTTAATAACTTTTAGTTTAATTTTTTTACAAGAAAATACATGTTCAGTGTAGACATTTTAGAAAATAAAAATAAACAGCAGAAGAAAATATAATCCCTGGGATCCTGTCGCCTGGTGTAGGTGGGGCCTGTAGTCTTTTTCCTGTGTATGTAGTTGGTGCATGGAGGATGGGGGGTAGTCAACGCTTTTTAAAAATATATATATAGAAAAGGGGTCCCATTGTGCATACTCTTTTATTACCTGATCTCTTTCATAGGGAGATGTTTTGACATTGATCTTTCTGTTGAGTCATTTCCCTGTTTATCTTTCCGCTGGAGAGGCAGAGTACACTCACCGCATCATACAATAGTCCCTTCCTATAAAGCTAATATATGTGAAGGAGACTTGACCACAGAAAGATCTGACTTAGACCTTACCCAGTCTAAGTATTTGATATCCAAAATACTAAAAAATATTAAGATTTTGTCACTTATGACTTAAGGACTATATTATAATGACTACCCAGTCTCTTCTTTCTTCTCCTAAGCAATGATGTCCCTTCCAGGTTATAACTTACAGAAGATTTTCACCCTTAGAACGACCCTTTTTCAGTCGCCCTTTAGAAACCTCCGTGAGGATTCCAGCTCTCTGGTTTGAACGGGACTGCCTACACCCACAGAAGTCACCCGGCCCTTCTCTTTCTAATTTGTTTTGTCTGTTTGGTGTTTCTGCTTTTAAAAAGCAGAGTAGTCGATGTGATGATTTCGTTTTCTGTCTTTTCTTAGGTCTCCACTTTTGCTAGTTTGAAGTTAGCACTGACATCCTATCTGCTTACAGGGATTCTAGGATGCAATGTAAAAATCATGTTCCATTTTAATCATAAGTTATGTTTTTCTCTACCCCCTTTTCCCATTTGTCTTTTAGATAAAGAAATTAATAACATTTAGTGGCGATGTGTCCAAGCTGTCGCTGGCAGACTCCTTTCTGCACTGCTTAATTCAGGTGCCAAAGTAAGGATCACTGATCATTGTTCTTTATAGAGGAAGGTTTTAAATGAGTGACCTCAGATTCCACAGTCTGACTTTTTACTTTCCAGCTATTCGCTTCGGATTGAAGCCATGGTGCTAAAGAAGGAGTTTCTACCTTCCTGTTCGTCTCTGTACACGGATATAACAATTCTAAGAACCGCTATAAAAGGTAAGTGAATGCATGATGCTTCACGTGATTGGTTCTTACTAATTTGGTAACAGTTTATTTTAAGAAACAATTCAATTAAAATTAGAAATGCAAAGTCCCTTTTCTAATACACCTGAAAAAGGGAAGAGTTGTTACCGGGGATGGCATTGAAGGTTCATCTACATTTATTCCCCTAATTAGTTAAATTAATTGACTAATCCGTTGATTAATTGGCATATCATACAAGAAGGTTTCTTTCACCTTAAGCTTCAGAGTGAACCTTGTTGCTTGAAGCTCACCCCTGTCCCTCTCACAGCTTAGCTTTCTGTGTGTACGTGCCTTTAAATGACCGAGATACCTTCAGTTGTTAAACCAGTTCGCAAACTGAGATTAATCAGAAGGTGCACAAGCTATGGACCATCTGCATCTCTCCTCCCATGCCCTGGACTCTGTTGGTGTCTAGGACCCTGCTTTCCAGAAGCAGACCACCTTTCCTCCTGACTCCTCCTGGACATAGCCGGTGTGGCTCTTTTGCCAGGGTTCCTGGTGTCTCTGCCCCGACGGCCTCCCCTCCCAGTTCTAACAGCGGGTGGGCTAACTACTTTTGAGAGGGGTGAGCTGGCCATTTCCATTGCTTTGAACAACTTGCTAAATTTTTGCTTACCCAGCTTGGATAGACTCCTCAGAGTTGCTCCGATGTCACTCCATAGGGGCGGAGCTTGGCTTTCTGCCGTGGGTGGCGGTGAGAGCAAAGGCCCGGCCCGTCTGTGTCTGCCTCCTTCCCACCTCTGGGGCACACTCTGGTCTTCCCTGACCCTCACATTGTCCAGCATCATCAGCGCCACCCTGATTCCCTCTCGCTCATTTTCTGAATTTCTAGTTATTGCGCAGAACTATTTGTTTCTATTTGTTTTTCCTGGTTAGTTGCTCCAGCCTGTGTTGAGATAAAGTTTTTCCCTTCAGCCCATCATAATTTCTTCATTTTAGAGAGGAGACTAAGAATAAAGAATTTTTCTTCTTTCAATCTAGAGGCCTTTTAAATTTTCTTGCTATACCATGGCTATTGCAGCAACTTTAGGAAGGCTGTTCCTCCTGTTCAAAAAGAGATGGGAGAGTATGTTTTCATATTGAGCAGGGCAAATTTGTGGGCACGGCGCAAACATTTCTTATCTAGCTCCCCTTCAAAAGCTGGCCTCCATAGATAGCAGTGTAGGCGGTAATCCAAATGTAATTTTTTTAAAGTAACACCAGACTTAATGGAGAATATTAACTTAAAAATATCATAGGTAACATTCTATTATCTATATATCCTGCCATTTAAATCATCAGACTTTTTTAGCCATCCAAATACATTAACAATTTTTAATAGTATTTATTTATGTAGATGAGTGTATAAAAGATTCTGTGGTTAAAGAACTAGTTTACCACTGTTACAATGATAAGTTTCTTTTTAAATCTTTAAGCCAATCCAAATGAAATGTATAGTTTTGAATAAAATAGGAAGATTCTCTGGGGGCCCAGCCCCTGCAGGTTGATGCTTTGCAACTTATTTACATGTCATGCCAGCCTGTTTACTTTTTAGCTCATCGACTAAGCAAAACGTTGCTCACTATTAGTTTTCCGTTCCATAAATATAGTCTCAAAGGCTAGTGGATATAAAGGAAAAAAATAACTGCTGAGAGAAAATTTATTCCTACAACACAGTGTACTGCTTTTTGTAAGGCTTTCGCATTTTCCACTTGAAAAATTTTCTAATTGAAGTATTTTTCAATGGTTTTTCTCTTTTTGTTAATCCTTACTCAAGGGTTGTTTTTTTTTTTAGAAAGAGTGGAAGGGGTTGAGGGGTTGAGAGTGGTGGGGGAGGAGAGAGAGAGAAAGAGAGAGTAACATTGAGGAGAGAAACACATCAACTGGTTGCCTCCCACAGGTGCCCCCACCCCGGCTGGGGATCGAACTGCAACTGAGGTGAACGTGCCCTAGACTGGGAATTGAACCCAAGACCCTTTGGTGCTCAGGCCAATGTTCTAACCACTGAGCAGGCCGGCCAGGGCTTTTATGATGTTCAAGTGTTACACATATTTGATTCCCAGTTCAACACTAGGACATGGTTTTCCAATAGCAAATGCTGAATTAAATATACCATAAGCTGTGCTGCTTTATTTGATTTTCTCAGTCTTTGCGGTTCAAGGTCAGAGCTTGCTTCAGACACCCTTGACCTTGACTGTGGTAGCTGGTGGCTGTCTTTTCTGCATTTAAGCTGGAGGCTTCTCTAAGGCACTGTAGTGTGTTCTTTTTGACAGAGCTGATGTCGTGTGAGGAGCTACATTCAATATTACACTTGGTGCTACAGGCAGGAAATATCATGAATGCAGTAAGTAAAATTAAAAAAAATTAAAATGTTGTGTTTCCAACTTTATTGGTCTGTCTAAAAATATAACTATGTTTTTTTCTTTTGATTTGTCTTCCTTAGGGAGGGTATGCCGGCAATGCAGTAGGATTTAAACTGTCTTCCCTGCTCAAATTGGCAGACACAAAAGCAAACAAACCTGGGATGAACCTTCTGCACTTTGTTGCACAGGTATGGGAGTGTTAATATGGAGAGAGAATGTGTGTGAATCCCATGCAGGCCATGAAGTTTTTCCCAGGTGTGAAGTGGCATCAGAATCAGGAAAGGGCGCGGTGGGCTCCAAGAAGGTTCTCTGTGCAGAAGCACTATCTGCAAATTAGTGAGCTGAACTGCACCTTGGGTTAGAGGACTGGAGGAGGGGGGTGGAGGGGTCGGGGGGAGTAAGGCAAAGGGTTGACAAAGACAGATTATGAAGGATTCAGATCCTAAAGCTGGGGAATTTGGATTTCTTGCTTTATCAGTGGGAAGCCAACTGAAGAGTGTGTGCTGTATGTCATGACTCAGTTTTTTGTTTTTGTTTTTAGGAAAATAAGGCAATGTGGAGGATGGCTTGGAGTGGACAGAGAACTAGAAATAGGGTTACCTCTTGGTGGCAGTTGGCATTAATTCATTGTTTGATGAGAGTTGAGAATCAGAGTAATGGCCATAGGGATAGAGTATAGAAGCCTGGGTGTTGAATTGCCTAGATTTTTGACCAGTGATGCATAAAGAGTGAGAGAGTCAGAGCAATTAAAAAGATCACTTCCACTTTTTCCCTTTGTGAAGTGTGGCTTAGAGTGCCTTGCCGTGAGCCCAGGGATTGGACTCTGAACCCTGTCCGTCACTTCCATTTTTTTTTTTTTTAAATTGATTTTAGAGGAAGGGAGAGAGAGAAAAAAGCATAGATGTGAGAGAGAAACATCGGTCAATTGCCTATGGAACGTGCCCTGACTGGGGGATCAACCCCAAAACCTAGGTATGTGCCCTGACAGGGAATCAAACCCGCGGTGCCTGGGAGGATGCTCCAACCACCTGAGCCGTCACTTCCAGTTTTGGCTGGGTCTGTGTGATGCCAAAGGAACTAGTTACAAAGTGAAAAATCAGCCAAGGACAATTATCTCTTTGTTGTTAAATTATCTCAAGTAACGAATTGTTCTGGTTTGTTTTTCCTTCATTGGATCGCCTTGTTGTTTTGACAGCAAATACAAAGACGTAGCTTTAGCCTGGGTAGGAAGCTCTGTCACGTGCTTGTTTCAAGTGTGAGCTTCAGAGCGGGGCAGAGCTGAGAGATTTTGATTTGTCATTTTTGAGCTGTAATCCCTCAGACAAGTTATTAAACCTAAGACCCTGAATCTCTTCATCCAGTGATGGGGATAGTGATACCTCAAAGCCAGGTGACTGAGAGGGCTAACAGTGATCATTTCATAAAGCGCTTAGCTTAATATTTAGCATATAGCAAGCTCTCCATCAATAATACATTCGATTATTTCTATAGTCTTCAGAAGATGGAGGCCATATTGACCTTAGGACTAATTTGGAAGTTAATTTTCAGGACATTAAAACCAGAAAATATGTTCCCCCTCCCACATGCCCTGCAGGGAGGGAGTGTTCCTGCAGCCCTTTTAGATCCATGTAGCCAGGTGTGCTCTGTGTACCTTGGTCCCTGCCCATGTGGGGAAGTTTCCAGAATTGGTACTTGGTCCCTTTATACCTGCCTCCCTTGTAACCTGTGAACAGGTGAAGACTCCAGCATCTCCATGGCTTGTACACCTTCTGATTAAACTCAGGTTGCAAACTGGTTTAACAGCTGAGGTATCTCGGTCATTTAAAGGCTCACTCATTGGCATGGGTGGTATTTAAACAGGATAAATTGGATTCTCTGAGAAACAATGGGCCCTGCTAAGCCACCACCTACTTCCACTGAGTTTTCCAGCACATTAATTGTATTTCATGTCAGCATTAGTTGCTCTGGGAAGTTAAAATATTTCTTGACAGCCTTGGCATTCTGGTAGATCTTACTAAGAACATCAGAGTTCTTGTCTCCATGAATAGCTTTGAACATATCAAGGGTGAAAATGGGAACAGTGGTTTTAAGGTTCCTTTAAGCCTCGAGAAAATGATTTCCTTCCAGTTCTATCTATATAGTGAGAGAAAATTCTGGTTTTGTTTCAGGAAGCCCAAAAGAACGATGCCGTTCTTCTAAACTTTTCTGAAAAATTACATCATGTTCAGGAGGCTGCTAGGTAAGCAAGGAAGACTGAAAGTGAATTGTGAAGATTTAAGGGTTGTTTTTTAACTACCTTCTTATGAAAACTGATGACTAGTTTATAACTTCTGGATTCAGGTGTGAACTTCAAAAAGTTTTGTCTTATTGAACTTTCAGACCTTCCTTTCATTTGCTTACAGCAACGTGGGTGTACACCTTTGGAATTTGGGGGTTTTGAAAAATTAATCCTTACTTTTAATCTAAAAAAGATCTATTGCCATCTATTCTAATGAATATCATCAGTGTAAAAAAAACACAGATTAAGAACTTCAAATCCCTCCACACCCAAAAGATAGAGCTCAGAAAACACAGCCTACTACCTTGGGAGCCGGTACATTATCAGTCAAACTTGCAGGGCCATACATCACTGTTTCCTGGTAGAATCTAACATGGTACATTTATTTTCTATTACATTAGAAGTTGGAACCATACCAAGGGCTGTGAAAGGATTTTGTTTTAAATTAGTCACTCAGCTTTACAGAGAAAGTTTCTATCAAGCATAAAGCTCCATTTACAACACTTTAATTTGCTTCTGATCCTAATATAGACGTACACTTTAATGTAGCTCTGATCTGTGTCTATGTGCTATCTTGAGTTCTGTGTTTTCAAATTTACAATACACATCCCTGCATCAAAGCAGTAAATTTAAAAAACAAAACAAAACACTAGCTTTTGGGGGCATAAAAATAGTTCTGATTTGTATCAATTGCTGATTTCCATGGTGTAAATACTGCTAGCATGGCTGATTCAAGCTACCACTGTGGTGTTACTGAAGCGGAGTTGGGAAGAGATACCTGTACCCACCGTCACCTCCTGTGCTTTGGCTCCGGCACGCCACTTCATCAGCCTCGTTCGTGGGGTTATACTGCATATATTCATTATCCAAGGGACTGTATCCAGTTAGAACACGAACCACATGCATAAGCACATGAACCATGGCTTTTCAAGCCGAGCCCTGTCATTGGCCAGTGTCTCAGTGTTATGACTACGAACATCTAACCGCAGACTACATCTTTCCCAAAGTGAGATTATTAGTCCAAAGGTGTGGCCAGTTCATAGTTCTTGTTTACGGATCACCGGATTATTCTCCCAAAAGAAGGAGCATCTTTCTTATAAGATATAAGCTGTTTTGGTTTTGATTCACTAATAGAAATTTGTGTGGGAATATTTTTTTCCTCTGACTAGTATAGAAATGTTAATAAGAGAGAAAGAACCATTATATTTTTTTTTAAATCCTCACCCAAGGGGAGATATATATTTTTTTTAATTGCTTTTGGGGAGAGGAAAGGATAGAGAGAGAAACATCAATGTGAGACAGAAACATCGACCGGTTGCCTCCCATACAGGCTGACCAGGGATCGAACTGGCAACCTAGGTATGCGCCCTGACCGGGATTCGAGCCTACAACCTTTTGGTGTATGGGACGATGCTCTAACCAATTGAGCCACCTGGTCAGGGCAACCATTCATTACATTTTTGAACTGAAATTTTTGGTCAGAGTTAGGTGGGGAAGTTTAGCTAGCTACTGTCTTGGGAAAAACGCAATCAGTAAGACCTGTTTACTTGAAATGGAAGGTGAAGTACAAACAGATCATGGGTGGGTGTCAGTGACCACGGACGGCGGAAGACTTTATTGCACAGAGAAGAGTTAGAACTGACAGTGGCGGCCTGAAAGCATCCTGACGTGAATTTGCTAATAGATCTCCCCCTGGATCTTAGGGCTCATCTGGGTGACGAAAACAGCATTTATGCTGTACTGATCTGGATTTGATATAAATAACAAAAGCCTTTGCAGAATTGTTAGTTTTCTGTGAAATAGAGCGCTTTCCCCGGCTGTCCGCGGCGAGCGACGTGTCTGTGCAGTGTGTCCGCATTACCCTGACGTCAAGGTTGTCAGCGCACACTGCCTTGCTTTTCCTGACTTAGAGCTTTTGTATTTATGTTTAGTGGCCGGAGGAAAGTGTATCTGCGTCCTGCTAGCTTTTAATTTTTAATGCTTACTGCATAGAAGTGTTCCAACAGGTCCCATGGTTTTGGTTATCTTACCAGCAAGAACGCAGTTACATACATCACAGCCTGCCCTCTGAACCAGTGGGTGTATTTAGGAAGGAATCTCCTCTTAAAAAACAACATAGGCAGACTGACAGCTGTCAGAGCAGAGGGGGTGGAGGCGACCGGATGGAAGAAGGTGAAGGGATTAGTCAAAGAACATATATGCATAACCCACAGACACAGACAACACTGTGGTGGCGGCCAGAGGGAGGCGGGGTGCGGGCTGGGTGGAGGTGGGCAAAAGTGGGGGGAAATGGGGACATCTGTAATAGTGTCAACAATAAAAATAAAGTAAAAAATAAATAAGTAAATAAAAAACAGAGGAGGAAACCCTAAATATGGGGATAGGTCAGTGTAATCGCAATGGCTCCATCCCCTTCTGTTTTTTTTTACAAATTTCTTTAATGTCTTAGCTTAATAGAATGTAGTTGGACCTTTATAACCACTTCTGCATTCAAACTGATATTTGATAGTTTGTGTTTTGATTTTTTTTTTTACATTCCCTATTATTTTGTAATAGCTTCAGGTGTATCCCCCCTCCTGTTTTTAAGTTTGACGGACAGTTGGACTTGTTTGATGTACCCACTTGACACGTGGCTTCCCTGTTGCCAGCTGCCCACTGTCCCCTTTCGTCTCCTAGATTATCTCTGGATAACACCGAGGCAGAGCTGCACTCGCTCTTCGTCAGGACGAGATCGCTGAAGGAAAACATCCGGCGGGATGATGAACTTTGTCAGCAGATGGAAGATTTCCTTCAGGTCTGTGGGTGATTTGAGTCAGTCCCTCTAATTTCATCCTCCTGCGGCTCCCCGAGGCTGCTTAGATTTGCATGGGTGTGTCTGGGGAAGCAGCAGCAGGTTCCCATTCATATTTTTCCCCGAGCCAGTAAAAGGAACTTCTTATGTCAATGCCCATTCTTTGCTGGATTGATTTTGAGCAGATCTTGAATACAGTCTAAACTTACTAAGGTAATGGTTAGGGAGCAGGGCCTCCCTTTATCACTGCTCGGTGTGCATGGTTGTGCCGCACTGTAGTGAATTGGTATCTGTTTATGGGGCTTACTTTCCCTGGTAACTCAAGTTGTGGTTCTAAATTGTGGTTTAGGAGTTCCCGACTCCCAGTCCAACTTGTGGACCCCAGAACCCAAGGTCCACAGCAATCGCCAAGGTATCTGAGAACCTGGGCTCTTGTTCCTTTGCTTGTTTTTATTAAAGTCACAGGCTTCATTTTGGCATGTTTTATCATGACAGTGGGAGAACACGATAGCTGTGCCTATCACCACCCGAAATACATCAGCCCAACAGGGTGTGTCGGGAGCTGCTCCGACTAACAACAGAATACAGCAGAGTGGACGTGTTTGTGACAGCTCACTGTGACTCACTAATCACATAGTCTGACATACTTCTTTTATCTTCCTTATTAAAAAAAAAAAAAAAAAAGTGGCACCTTCTCATGCTTTCAATCTTCAGGGAAATGGTGTGCCACCTTAAACGTCAGCGCTTTGAGGTTGGCGAGGTGGAATCTGTGTGGCAGGGCTGCCCTTGGCACCAGGAAGGAACACTGTGCTCCCAGAGCTGTTCCAGCGAGGCCTTTACTCATTCACTCGTAATTAAGCTACAAATATTACGAGCTTCAGCTTCCATCAGTAAGCATTTGATTTTGTTGGGCTCTGTTGGGATTTTGTTTTTATTATTAAACATGTGGTCTGTGTTTTCTTTGAAATATAACCAGACTGTGATTTTCCCCTTAAAGTGCCCACATTTTTCTCAAAGTGTAAGAACAGAGCAAACACCAGCACAGAGACACCTAACAGTGGGTAGGAAGACACTCAGCAGTGAGCACATACAGACAAATGAAGCCAATCCAGAAAGTCAAGAAGGCCCATCACGCACTACATGAGAATCCTGGTTGCCTCATTCCCCAGTTCTTATTTTAGACATTAGCATCATGTGCTGCCTGGCCAGAGTGGCTCAGATGGTTGAGGATTGTCCTGTGCGCCGAAAGGTTGCCGGTTCTGTCCCCAGTCAGGGCACATATGGAAGGCAGCTGATCGATGTTTCTCTCTCACATCTGTGTTTCTCTCTGTCTCCCTCTCCCTCTCTCTCTTTCTCCCTTCCCCTCTCTAAGCATGTCCTCAGGTGAGGATTAAAAAACAAAATAAAATAGCCCTGGCCAGTGTTACTCAGTGGTTAGAGTGCCAGCCCACACACTGCAGGGTCAAGGTTTCAATTCCCATTCAAGGGCACCTCCCTGGGTTGCAGGTTCAATCCCTAGTCCTAGTCAGGGCACGTGTGGGAGGCAACCAGTCAATGTATCTCTCTCACATCGATGTTTCTCTCCCTCTCTTCCCCCTCCCTCCCTTCCACCCTCTCTAAAAAATATCCTCATGTGACGATTAACAAAATAAATACATACATACATACATGTTGGTGTTGTATGCTAAATAGCTGAACAGAAAGGTTTTAGATGAAAAGTAGTTCTGTCTTAACTGCACCCGAGACTGCTCTTCAAAGGCAACCTTGTTTGAACTCTAAACACTTCTTTCTGGTAGTCATTTTTATTTCTGTAAATAAAACATTACACCCAGCTATTTAGTTTTCTTTTCAAATGCAATTTCTTTAAATAGGAGGGATACATTTGTTTAAGGTAGGTTAGGGTCAGGTCAGGAATGGCTCTGAATGCCAGCCTGAAAACTTTGGATGTTGTGTTCTAAGCCGTGGGGAACCACGGAAGGCTTTGGAGCAGAAAAGGGACAGGAACATGATTTTGCAGATCTACTTCATTCTTTTGACCTTTTGGGCAAGAAGTACCAAGTAAACTGGTTTGGGACTTTGGTCAGTAGCAGGCAAGTTAGAGATGGAAGTTGAATTTGCTATAGTTGCTAACTGGTTGTTACTCAGGTTTTGCCAGTGTAGCTTTGCACTTTTTTGTTCATGGCCCAAATCATGTGGGCAGGGTTCAGAAAATAATGACTCCCAGCTTGGTGACCTGTCGGATCCATATTTGGAATGTTTCACTTTCCCAAGTCCTAAGGGCGACAGCAGTGCACTTAAGTCATTCCTTCCCCTTGTCCTCTCAGTCCCCTCGGTCTCGAACGATGAGACCTATGAGGTGGAGTAAGCACCTAGGTAGATCCTCATCAAGAGCCCTATATTTCTGCGGTTGAGCTGTTCTTGGCTGGAATCCACCTTTCCTTCGGTGGAAGAATGACAGGCATGGATTTATCCTTTCATTAATACCCTTCTCTCCATAAAGAAAAATACATTGTGAATGCACACACTGCCTTGGGCTACTGACTCAGAGGGTTACTTTCTCTGGTATTTGGTTTCCTAAATAGTTTTGGTTTTCTGCAACCTCTTGAGTGTGTTTGGTGTAAGAAGAGGGCTTGTAAGGAGGGGGGGAGTGTGTTGGAGTGCGTGGGAGGGGATGCGTCTTCTTGGAATCTCTCTTTAGGTTCCCAAGCTCTCCAAGCATGTCCAAGCAGTGCTTCCACTCCTCGAGGGTGGGCAGCCGGTAACTTCACCCTTTCCTAGGCACGTTCCCCCACTCAAAGAAGTTTCCCAAATACAAGTCTTCATCAAAACATGATACGTGTGATTTCATAAAGTAATACACCCTGTATTACTCATATAATTCTTCATATAAGCCTGGTAACCCAGTGGAGAAGAAAGCAGCATGAGCCTTCAGTGTGGTCCCCGTATTCAGTGTCCATGAGGTTCGCCCCGCGGACCACGCCGCTTCCTCATTTCAGCTCAACATTAGCTGTCCCTGAACCACTGTCAGGGAAGGGTGCTTGTGCCCCTGGGCCCCGGTGGATCACATCCTGAACTGGTTGGAGCTCATTCGAGGAAAGCAAGCTTCTTTCACGCCCACTTCTTGGTTGAGGTAGTACTTGAACCTGTAGAGGCCCCGTAGACTTTGTCCTAGAAGGATTAGGAGAGAAATGAGGAAGTAAAGAGGGTGGGTTTGTACAGGGCAGGAATTCCTAACCATTGCTACCTATTAGAATTTCCTGGGAAGTTTTAATAAGATATGAATGCTAGGTCCACCCCACAGCTACTAAATGACATGGACTGTAGACACAGCAGCCCAGCTGATTCAGAGAAGCAGCTCTGGAGAGGAAGCCCTGGCTGGGGCCTTGGTCCAGACATGAGGGCTTCAGTCCCAAGCAGCAATCCTGACCCTGACATAGCTCATTTGGGATTAAATTTAAACTCCCTGTCAACAGCACAACTCATCATTAGAACAAGTGACTTCTAGGACCCTAAAGTAAACTCTTAGCCAGCATAACACACAGTTTTAAAAGAAGGAAGAACATATAGAATATAATTATTTTTATTAATATTGATAAAACCAACCAACTATACCTATGTGACTTTTTAGTGACATTGAAGGTGAACATTTCGTCAGTGGCATTTTACAAGCTGAGGCTCTTCGATCTCTCTGTTTCTCCCAGGCCTCACACAGGAGTGCACCTTGTTTCCCCAAAGGTTTTGTTTGGGTTGAACTATTTTCCTTTTGGCTCTGAGCGCATTGGACTTGCAATAAACCTTCCCTTTTCCGAGACCTGAAACTGCACCCAGGAACACACCTTCCCTGGGCACCAGCCTGTCCGCTGACTGTTTACTTCAGCGTGTGCTTGTGTGTTTTCCTGCAGTTTGCTGTAGAAAAGCTGACCGAACTGGAATGCTGGAAGCAAGAGCTCCAGGAGGAGGCCCACGCCCTTATCGATTTTTTCTGCGAAGACAAAGAAACCATGAAACTGGACGAATGCCTTCAGATATTTCGAGACTTTTGTACCAAATTCAGCAAAGCGGTTAAGGTATGACAGATGGCACCTCTGTTTTCTGAATTGTTGGGCTTTTTATACTTCTTCTAGACCAAACCAGCCTTCTGCCTTTGGCAGAAAGATGGTTGAGTATTTCTGGGCTTTCAGGAAGGTCAGGCCCAGGCGGCATCACCAGGCTTTCAGTTGGGATTAGTGGGAAGTGGTTCTGCCATCCCAGCCCCGAGTGTGTCCATATCACCAGGTGTCCAGCATTTGGCTGTGTCTGCAACTCTGAGGCTCATACCAACACTTGCTTTAATGCCCTGAAAACATATTGTTGGTAAAGTCTATTTATGATGGCAGCCACAATATTATAAAATCTCTTTAAAGATCTTGAATGTCTTTCTCACCGCCTCCTCAGGAGAAAATAATCTCTTCCAGGAGACCTTTGTTGCAGTGGGATGACCAGAGGCCCTCTCTCCCTGTTTTGGGCACTGTAGCCATCGCCAGGGATTGGCACCATGGGCACCATGTTGTCCTCGGCCAGAGCAGACTTGGGAATTCTCAGATATCTAGGGAGCTTGCGCTGCCCTCTGAGCACACCTTGCCCTTCAACCATCAATTCCGATCATCTCTGAGTTAATTGCAGAAGCCAGAAAACTCTCGGGGTTGCTTGGCTTTGCAAATAAAACTTTCATTTCAATTAAAAACAAAACAACTCACCTCCCTTCCTTTTCAGTGGCGATGAGGAACCTAATACCTGTGTATTATCTCTTCCTCTATATTTCAAAAGCAGATTTGTCCATAGGTGAATTTCTTTAGGGACTGGTCAGATTTCTCTCCAGCTGTAAGTGAGTAGTCCAGAGTCTCTTCATTTCTCGGTTCCTCCTTCCTCTGTCCAGCTAAGAGAAGGAGGTTCAACCTGAGACCACGTTTACTCTCCCTTGTCCAAGCAGTGAGCTCAGCAGGGGTAGAGGTGGTGGGTGGTAGATGCCAAACTGGCTCTTTCTGAGGCCCTCACTCCCAGTCAGAATTCTGTAGGCTCTCCAGGCCACCTGTGTGATGCTCTCAGCCCAGCCACCCTGAGAGCCAAGACCTGGCCCCCTCCCCAGCACAGGCAGCCAGCCAGAGCCAGAGCCTCACAGAAATGTGGACAGGAATGTCCACTATTTGAGAAAATTGACTTTCAAGTAAAAAGTGCTACGGATAACAGATTTGGGTTGTGAGATCCACATATTTCCATGACACGAATATATTTAAAGTGCACAGCCAGGCTATAAAGTGTACTTGGTTGTGTGCATTTGTTCTGGTTTCAGAGGGCTGGCTACTTGGAGCAGGGTGGAAGGTGGAGGATTTGTAAGGCAAACCCTCCTCTCTGATTGTGGGAAGGACATGGGGCATGAGGGACAGAGCCACCCTAGCATTTCTGGTAGTTTGTTTGTTTGTTTGTTTTACCAGGGAGCAGCCAGAGAACAGAGATTTGAAAGGCCTTTCTTGATATCTTGGGTGTACATTTATGTATCCATATCCTTGTTAGGTAGGATGTGCTGCGCAGGAGAGTGTGTGTGTGTGTGTGTGTGTGTGTGTGTGTCTGTATCTGTGCAAGGACCAAACTGGATTTCCTCAGAGTTGAGGTCACAGGCATATATGGAATCATAGAGGGGACAATGCATTGACTGGAAAGCTGGAAGTTGGGGCCAGGGATCTGATAATAACCTCAGACTTTTTGAGGCCAAGCATAGTGTGCTCCTCTGATCATTCCCACATAGCTTTGGAAGAACCTAGCCTCCTGCCACACACACGTGCAAATGCACACAGTCTCTCTCAGTGATGCCCATGACCCAGGTCTCCCTTCCACACATGTTTGTATCTCCCACTGGGGTCTCAGGGTAGGTGGCTCTGGAATTGCACATGGGTCCCACCTGTCTGATGCATCGTCCGGCTTTTCTCCACCCCTCATTCAGGACAACCACAACCGGGAGGTACAGGAGCTGAGGCAGCTGCAGCGGCTTAAGGAGCTGGAGCAGAAGCGGCGTTCCTGGGCGGCTGGGGAGCTGGTGGGATTCGGCCGGAGCAGCAGTGAGAATGACGTACAGCAGCTGAGCAAGAAGGGTGCAGAGGACCTGCCCTCCTTCCTGCACCGCAGGCCCGTCAGCCCCTCCTACCGACGCCCCAGCACCCGCCGCTCCCGCCGCTCCCTGGGCACCTCTGCTGATCAGGAGCTGCTGACCTTCCTGGAGAGCTCCATGGGCAGCCCCGAGGAGGCCAACAAATTCAACAGCTTGCCCTGGAGCAGCCCCCGGCAGGCCCGGCCCACGATGGCCTGGATGGAGTCTGGGAAGCCAAGGGACCAGAACTCAAACCGCACACGCAGACTTCAGGCCTCGGAGGGCCCGGAGCAAGCCCCCGACCCACCCTCAGCTTCATGTGGACAGCTCCTAGTCCCTCAGATCGAGGAACCTGCACCAGTTTTGCTCCGAACTAGGCGCAGTGGGCTCAGCATGCTCCAAAAGAGGAACAGTGAGCCTGTGGGCCTAGCGCCTGCCTGGTCCCCTCCACTCTCGCCATTGGCTCTGGGAATTAAGGAGCATGAGCTGGTCACCGGGCTGACTCAGTTCGACCTCCAGGGTCCCAAGGATCAAGAGGAGACCCCCCAGCTGAGCCTGACCAACTTAAGCCCAGGGGAGCTGGCGTCTCCAGGAGATGGGAGCCTGCAGCCCCTTGGCACTGGCGCTGGTGCTGGCAATGATAGCCTCATGTCTGTGGGCACAGGTGCCCAGGGGAGTCCCAGCCCAGCCCTGGAGGGTGACGGGGCTGCCCCTGATGAGCCCAGCATCAACCCTGAGAACAAAGATCCTGGGCCTCTGTTCAACATCTCAGATACCACTGACTGCTCGCTGACCTTGGACTGCTCAGAGGAAACTGACTCCATGCCTGGCGGTAGGGAGCTGGAGGAGGCCAGAGAAGGGCATGGCTCTGTGTCCCCTGGGGCAGGGGAGACAGATGGTAGCCAAGTGTCTTCTAACCCTCTCTCCAGCCCCCCTGGGGAGACTCCTGTTCCCACCTCTGGGAAGAGTGGGTCCACTTGCAAAGGTGGCCTTTCCAGGGACAGACCCTCCAAAGGGAAGGATGTGATAACATCAAAAAGAAACTCCCTCAAAGAGGCGTCCCAGGGAGCCCCCAAGCCTGGGACTGTCACTCGAGGCCAGGGGGCAGCACCCAAGCCCGTGCGGACCTTGACCTCCTCAGAGAGCGAGAGCATGCGCAAAGTCGTGCCCATCTCCAGGGCCAGCAGGGGCTCTGCTGGCTGGAAGCAGCCCCCTCGGGAGCCCCCCAGCGGCACAGATGAGCCGTGGTCACGCCAGAACTCTGTGAAGGGCACCTCGGACACGTCGCCCAAGAGGTCCTTGAAGGGGGCTGGGGTGACCGAGGTGACCGAGGAGCAGAGGCCACCACGAGGGAGGGTTGGCTCCTGTGGCACCCGGCCAGGGAAGGAGCCTGCCCTGCAGGCCAGGGGCTCCCTCAAGAAACCTAGCGCCAAGCCGCTCCGGAATGTCCCCAGACAGAAACCTGAGGAAAACAAGATCTGCCGCTCCAACTCCCAGGGCCCCCAGAGCCCAGAAGAAGAGCCTAAGGCCCCTCCACAGACCCCCAGCAACCCCCGTGTTTCATCCCACCTCCCGAGCTTTGCCCGAAACACAGTGGCCTCCTCATCTCGGTTGATGAGATCAGATTCTGTCCCTGTGACCAAGCCCCCTGGCCTCACTCGGGCAGTCTCCCAGCGGCAGCTGAGGATGAAGGGTGGCCCTGAGGATGCAGTCCCCAAGGACAGCGGCACCCTGCGGCGGGCCAATAGCACCCGGGCTCCCAAAAAGTATTCCGAGTCTGCTGAGGGTCCCAGTGCCAATACAGAGGCCTCGCTGAAGGGCAGAGGGACTGGGGAAAGGGCCTCCTTCAAACAAAAAGACTCCAGTCGGACCACACTGGGGAAAATCCTTACTCCTTTGTGGAAGTGATGGTGCCTGTCCTCTCTCACCTCCTGAGGTTACTATGAGGACTGACCACTGTGAAAGGCCAACACTGAATGTTCCCCATCAAGCGAATCACTGGTGCCGCCTGCTAACGCTCATGTCCTTGAAGGTACAGTCTGGGAGGCCGGTTTGCTGCGACCTGCTGCGGTGACTCCTGCTGTCGGGTCCTGATTCACCCTCATCATGGGCCGGCACCTTCTGCACACATCCAAGGTGTGCTTGAGCATCCCCTTTACCCCAAAACAAGGACTCGGGCGTGTAAGATGACATTCTTATGTAAGGAGTAAAAAAGGAATTTTGGCCAGTTTTTATATATCTAAGGTGTATTTTTCAGTATAAAAAATTCAATGTCTTAGTTGGTTCCTTTGGCAGAGTGAATGCCTCCTAGAAAAAGACAGAAGAAAACCCGCTTTGTATGAAGATACTTTTATCTTCCTGTGTTCCCTGGCCTCGGGTTCTACCTGCCACCCACCGTCCATTGCTGGCAACTGGACTTCTCCATAAGCCCTTGGTGTCTTATGGTTGGCACGTGTCCTTGGAGACTATTCCTTGCTCACCTCTCCCTGTGTGACTTGCGGTGAGGGTTTGCATGTGAGCAGGAGGGAAAGTGAGACTGGTGGACCGAGATCAGTGCTCCTGTGTGCTCAGTGTGGTGTGGGCACCGTGGGCAGTGGGATGTGCACTTTGGGGGCCTGTGGCTGCAGAGCCTCCCTGCAGAGCGGTGGCAGCCCCTGGGAGAATGCTGGATCTTTCAGAATTTAGAAGTGCCATATTTTAATGGAAAGTCATCAGGGGCTGTTCAGCTGATTACACCTCTCCCATTCCACGTTTTCCCATTTGTGTTTCTGTTGTACAACTGAGTGAAGGCTGCTACGACTTTTGTTTGCTCTAGTTACAGGTGAAAAAAAAACCCTTTCTGTCTCCCAGTCTTCCTTCTCCCTCTTCTTGCCTGCTCCAGCCCTTCCTTCTCTGATGTAGCCTGGTGTCTGTCTGTCTGTCTCTCAACAATGATACTTTTAAATGTTAACGTCTATTCTTTGGTGGTTTTGAAATACTGGAAAAAACATAAAGTTTTTAAAAACAAACTAAAAATGAAATTAGTTAGAAGAATTTATATCATTAGGAAAAATTTGGGAAAAAAGGCTTTTATTTAAAAAAAGGAGGGTGGGAAACATACTTGTTCTACCCGGTGCCCACTTCACTGTTTCCCTCTGAGACTACTTGGGAAATGGGAGAATTTTTGAAACTTTTTTGTTTTTTAAAAATTGCTCCCCTTTTTTTCCACTTTTGGTTGCTTATTAGTGAAACCTCATTTCAGATCCAACAGTGGTAGACGGATTTAGGCAAATAAGATGTATTACAGTCTCCCTTCTGTACAATTTTGTCTTCCAACTAAAGTAATTGGAAACTCAACTTCTGTAAGTCAGCTAAATTGCAAGGGTAAACTTTATGGTAGAAGTAAGGCACCTGACCACAAAACCTCTTATAAAAATAGCCCTGAGTAGGTATTTCCAGGGCTCCACAGAGATGGTTTTATGCTGTTTTTGACCTGTTTTTCATCATAAAGCCTGAGAAAGCATATATTTAACCATGCAGACAACAGTGTTCAAAGCATAGGGCCCATGGGTGGATGGGAAATGGATGTGGATTTGTGGATAGTGGCGGGGCCAGGACTTCTAGATGGGATCCTAGGGACCAGTGTTTGAGTCCCTGTTTCCACCGCTGATATTACATTAACTTGGCCAAGTCACTCCCTCTCCCTAAGTCTGTTTCCCAGTCTGCAGAAGCAGGGGCATGGCCTCCGTGATGGTCTCCAGGGTTCCTTCTCGCTCCAACAGTCTGAGTCATGAACAACCAATGACCCATCTCTGCTCTGGGATCAGCTTCTCAGAACCAACCCCCAGTATCTCCACAGCAGAGGCCTCCCGTAAAGGCCTGCTCAAAACACCTCCAGAATGAGTTGTTGCTTTGAAATCCAATAGGCCGAGTTTCCTGAGAAGTGGTGTTTTATTTTACTTAGCCCTGTGGACAACTTCTGTGTTTGCATCTGTGTGAGCAGGTGAAGATTCTATTACCTTTTATCGGTAGTAACCTTGGAATAATTTAAGTATATAATGGAGAAATGTAAATAAGTTTCTATATAAAATTGTTTAAGATGAACTGAATGTATTTAAAGGTCCATTTATATGTTCTTTTACGTAATACGTAGTTGAATAAAGTTCTTGTTTATGGGATTGTGTTTTTTCCGTGATGTGTGTGTATGTGTGAGATCCTGTCAGGAGAGGAAGGCAGGATGCAGGAGGAAAAGAAAGGATGGAATACAAGTCTTGTTCTCAAAGGGTTCAAGAGCCAAATTAGGTTGTTGCTGTGTCTTCATAGTAGCACAGAACCTGCACTTAATCAAGGGCCTTGCGCCAGACCTGTGGGAAAGCAGGCATGCGTCTGATATGCAGGCCACTGGTGGAATGTTCAGCACCTCGTACATGCTCACATTTATTCCACGTTTGGGGCCAAGCTTTGTGTAATCTCCATGGGGCCGGCAAGTCTGGATCTGCTGCTGTGTGTCCTCGTGTGTTTTGGCTCAAGACACTATTGGGAAATCACAGCTCACCTCTGAGCTGTCTCAGGAATGAGCAGAGAGGGAGGAAGGTGGAGTTTTATTTCAAATGCAGGGTTGATGCTTCTTTGAAAGGAAACCTTGGGGTTTCATACCAGGTTTTATTCCTGGCTACTCTCCTGCTTTGTCTGGAAATGGTTAGAGGAATAACTCTGGGTCAGGCACCCATGAGTGAGAGTGTGGATGACGTCCTTGTGAGTTGCTACTTGCCCTGTGACATTTAGAACCTGGTTTTGCCTGTTAAGCCTTTTTGTTTTCACAGTGGGCCCCAAGTAGTTTCCTTTTCACCCTCTCATGAAATGCCTTCACAAGGACACTGTGTTGCAGTCCTTCCCCCAAAGATAGGTATTGAGTTCAAAGGGACCACAGTTTTCTAATTGTTCATTCCAGATTCTGAACATTCATGTATAGTGGTGAGAGGCTGCGGAATAGTTTGGTAAACTCTTAATTCAACCTTCCGAGTTGTGCAAATCACCAACTTCTGCCTCTAAGCATGCGGAACCTCCCCCTCTCCTCCCATCTGTCAATGATGACATTTTGCAATTTCACAGAATTTTCTATTGAAACTTAAACTTTATTATTAATTCTTTATGAGACTCTTGCTTTATGAGCCAGTCTTGCCAAAAAAAGAGATTTTTGTTGTTGATATGTGTCCCCAAACACATGAAGCATCAAATTTGACTAAGGGACATTGCATTTGGTCAATAAGCATTTCTTTAAATCAACTGTGCCTTGAGTACAAACAAAATGGGAGACAGTGGGTCAGTGAGTCACACTACTCAGCATCTGATGGGGTAATAGTGCTTAGCTGGGACTGAATCTGTGGCAGGGTTGCAAACAATCCAGAGCAACCTCTCCCTGAGGAGTTTTTCATCTGCAAACATCTAGGAAAATGTCCTGGAGCTCATTGCTGCAGCTGAAGATAATGCTTTTCTGCCTTCCAGGCCAGAGCTCTGCAAGGAGGCATTTGGCTTCCTGGTTGGTAGGTAGGAAAATTGGGCCCCAAGCAGCCCTCACAATCTGCTCCTTCATGGGCCCTTGACTAAGGGCCCACCTGTCAGCCTGTGGAACAAAGATGGCTGAGTTTTTTAATGAGGGCACGCTTGAGGTCTCTATGGGTGCATTCATACCCAACCTTCAGAGTCAGGGCTTAGGCTTCGCCCCAACCTCCTCAGAGACATTCAAAGGCTGATTCATGCTAGCTGTCCTTAACTCACAGGCAGCTGATGTTCTCTAAATTTGCTCACAATTAGATACGAGTTCAGAACCACTTTTGCAAATCAATGATGTCTTGCGTTAGAGGTAGTTTCCAGAACGGCCTATTGGAAACCTATTTAATCCATCCATGGGTGGACTGTGGCAGTGGGTTTCCATAGAAGAGAAGCTCACTTGTAGCAGTGTTTCTAGAGGGAAATACCAGGGTGCCAAGAGCATCCCGCCCTTACATGAGGACATCAGGTAGGGGCTACAGCACTGAAACTGAGCACCAGTAATATTCACTGTCCACGTCTAATAAGAAAAGCCTCGCCATTCTTGGGGTCAGACAAGGAGCTCCCATCACTAGGTCAACTCCAGTGTATATAGGCCGTGTCTCTACCAGAGACTACCTGTTGTCTGTTCTTCCTCACAGAGGGCACACTGGGCCGATAGAAAGGTGTGCGCCCTCTGCTTTCAGCTTTCCAGGAGGAAGGCTGGGTCAGTCACACTCCCTTAGCCTCCTAATAGCCAGTGGGAAGACGGCAGGGCTGTGGGGATGCTGTCTATGGGGCCAGGGCCATGGCCTCATGAGCCAGGGCCAGCTGGGAGCTGGGACAGTGGGCCACGTCAGTGGGAGCTGAACATTTGCTGCAGGTGGTGAGCTCTCCGAGGTGCCCCCTGACTTCTGACAGAAGGGGCACATACTTTCCCAGAGTGGGGTGTGCTCCAGTATATAGCAGAATCACCAGCAACTGTGGGTGATTCCCAGTCCCATCCCAAACCTATACCACATCAGAATCTGGTAGGGCCCCCAAATTTGCATTTTAAGTAACTCCCCAGTGGTTCATTTTTTACCTTGCTGTTAAGAACCAGCGGGCTGGAGCAAGGCCAGAGGCTGGGGTTCTGATGTGGGGTTAATGAGCTGTTCTCAGGCCTGAGCCCCTCTCCAAGCCTGTTGGGCAACACAGGTGTGTTTCTTCCTGGGCAACTGACTCTGACCTCAGTGCCCAGTTAGAGGGAGAGCCGCCTCATTGGAACCTGAGCAGGTGGTCTAACACGCATCTTAAAACAGAAGCGCCTCCAGTTCATATGCTCGGTCACTCCTTGGGGCCTGTAATTCTTGGCAATGCAGCATCAGAGCTTTTGGGACAATGGCACCAGGGAACATAGGAAGTGACACTTCATGAGTCGTGCAGTGGCTGCCCTTCAGGAAGATTGTAATTCAGTATCTATGAAGCAATTTGCTAATAAGCGCTGAACAATGTCACACCCATTTGGGTGTCCACGGTGAGATTCTGTCAGCAAAGCTGCTCTTTGGAGCCCTGTTCCCTGGGCCTCTTGGGTTCTGGAGGTTTCCACAGCCTCCCTGAGAATGGCTTCAGCTCAGTTCTCGGGAGCGTTGCCTAGCTGCTGCGGTTGCTGGTCCCCGCGCGCCGGCCAGGCAGGCGCATCGCGCTGACCTCCGGCCGAGGGAGGGGGCGGGGCAGCTCTCCAGGGTGCTGACTCGGCGGCGGGAGGAGCGCGCTCGCGGGCGCGCGGGAAATGCGGGCTGCAGAGGCCCGCGGGAGGCCCGCCCACCCCACGCTCTCGCACAGTGTGGAAGTGTTTCCAGGAAGGAGGCCTGGGCCCCGGTGCTTTCCAAAGCTGTCAGCACAGACTCACTTACTTTTCACCACTTCGGGCCATAAACTGCTCCGCATCAGACCCAGAAAGTTGCTGAGGGAATATGGACAAGTCTTACCACTCCAGGGACAACCACCTTTCCAGTTTGGACAGGTGCATGACAGGGGTTCGAGCTGTATTTGGATTCAAACGATGGTTGGGCTTTGGAAGTTGCCCCGACAGAAAGAACAGTGCCTTCATTCAGCTGTGGCTGAACGGAGACGTCAGCCTCGCTGGTCAGCTGTGTTTTCCTCTTTCCCAGGGCACCAGTGGGTCCCACCAGCTGACTCATCCCCAGAGAGCAGAGAGAAGAGGAGGGCTGCCTCCAGGGCAGGCTTCTTGCCACTGACGTGAGACAAAGAGCAGAATGGCCTCCCCACCCCCACAGGGCCTCCTACTCCCAAGTTCAGGTTTGACTCCAATACAATAGAAAAAAGAGTCACTAGATAAACACCTAGACAAGATGCCCAATGCTCTCAGCTCTTTCCCAAGTCCCTGCTTTCCTCAACCAGCTCATAATGGGTTGAACTCTGGCCAGTTATTTTCTCCCAAGAAGCTGATGGCTTTGCAGACAGTTACTCAGTACACACCCACCATCCCAGTGACCCAGAACTTGTCACTCCCACTTTTCAGTGGAGGGATTCATTCTGGGAGAGGCCAAAGGGAAGCATGTAAGCCGGTGGTCTCCCATGGCTACCAAAGCACCATTTTGGCCACATTCATGGAGCAATAGCACCCAGCATGAGGAGAGCTGGTCAGGCCACATCTGTCCAGTCCTCTGCCCCAGACACCTTGCAGGACAAGACTTGATGAGCTGGAGCATGACAGAAAAGAACGACCCAGACAGCCACAGTCTGGGCACCAGGCTGAGGATGAGCAGCTTGAGGATGAGGCCCCCAGGAGGTTTAAACTGTAAAAGGACAATAAAATCTGGTGATGGGATTAATCTTACTCTGTGTTGTTCCAAACAAAATGGAAATAAATCACCAGGGACTGGAGGAGTTCATTCCAAAGCTACTTGTCCATCTCCCTGGGCTGGGGTGTCTCCAAGTCCCTTCACCTGGAGGGCTCTGAACCTGTGAAATGACTTCCCAGGTCCTTTGCAAATCATTTTATATCCCTGACATATTCCAAGGGATGTTGGGGAAATGGATGGGCTGGGTGTCTGGCCTCCACTGGCAGCTAGGCCACTTCCTGCTCTGCCATCTATTAGCTGTGTGACCTTGGGCTTAACATTTCTGCTTGGGAATCATACCCCTGTGTAACTTCCTAGCAGTCCTGAGGGTCACATGACCAAATATGTTAAGATAGTGTAAAAATTTGCCATTTATCACTATTCTAAGTCAGAGCCCCGCCTGGCAACTTCTCAGAGCAGTGGATCCTCACCTGGACTCCAGCCCTATCTGGCTGTGTGACCTTGGACAGGTCACTGAACCCAGTTTTGTCTCTATTTCTGCTTCCTTTTCTTGCAGAGTAAGAAAGGCAGGGCTCCATGACAACTGACAGCACATAAATAGCCAGGTTGTGTCTAATTTATTGGATCTATAAAATGCATTTGCTTCCAGGACTCATGATCTCATCCTCAAGGCCAAAGTCTGCAGAGAGTTCCCTCTCACCCCAGCTCCCGACTTCCCTTCTCCGGGAAAATGTTTGCTCAACATGTATGTGAAGGGAAGGTACTCTCTACACAGCAGCAGGCTGTAGGTTCAGGGAAAGGCCAAAGGAACACACTGTACCCGGAGTTTCCTTCAAGGTCAA